TCATCACTGGCCATCAGAGAAATGCAAATCAAAACCACAATGAGATACCATCTCACACCAGTTAGAATGGCAATCATTAAAAAGTCAGAAAACAACAGGTGCTGGAGAGGATGTGGAGAAACAGGAACACTTTTGCACTGCTGGTGGGAGTGCAAACTAGTTCAACCATTGTGGTAGACAGTGTGGCGATTCCGCAAGGATCTAGAACCAGAAATACCATTGGACCCAGTGATCTCATTACTGGGTATATACCCCATAGGATTATAAATCATGCTGCTATAAAGACACATGCACGTATATGTTTATTGTGCTAGTATTCACAATAGCAAAGACTTGGAACCAACCCAAATGTCCATGAATGATAGACTGGATTAAGAAAATGTGGCATATATACACTATGGAATACTATGCAGCCATAAAAAAGGATGAGTTCTTGTCCTTTGCAGGGTCATGGATGAAGCTGGAAACCATCATTCTGAGCAAACAATCACAAGGACAGAAAACCAAACACTGCAAGTTCTCACGCACAGGTGGGAATTGAACAATGAGAACACTTGGACACAGGGTGGGGAACATCACACACTGGGGCCTGTTGTGGAGTGGGAGGTAGGGGGAGGGATAGCATTAGGAGAAATACCTAATGTAAATCACGGGTTAATGGGTGCAGCAAACCAATATGGCACATGTTTACTTTTGTAACAAACCTGCATGTTGTGCACATGTACCCTAGAACTTAAAGTATATATAAAAAAAGAAAATAATTGATCTTGGCCGATGTAGTATTTCCAGTTGCTTTATTCGTATATTGTTATTGCATGGTGGTGTAAATGGAATAACGACCCCCAGATATGGCACTCTACTAATCCCTGCAACATGGATTACCATAACTTGTAAGATGTTACCTTACAAGAATAAACAGACTGTGCAGCTAAGCTGTCATCAGGAGTCTAGTTGCCCTGAAACTTTATTAACTCTCCACGGTGTTCGTGAGCTATCATTCAACCTTGGACATAGAGTGTTCTGCTGAATTCTTCCTCTTTGGAGACTCTGACTTCTTCCGTCTACTCTGGCAACCTCAATATGTTGTCTTGTGCTTTTGGAATAAGCAACGGGCAGAAAGGGAAAGGTAGCAATATTCTGAGAACCTGAACAACAAGATGTGCTTTTTCTGATTAAATAAAATCTACCAAATTTTGAAACAAGTTTATTCTGACAACTTAGTTTCTAAATGTCATTGCCCACTAAATGGAACCAGGGCTTATTGGAGGTATGACTGATTCCAGTTCCGGGGCAGTGGAAACATGACTTAAGTCTTAGATATTTTTTGTGTCACAAAGCAACCGAATTGTTCAAAGACTAACAAAATCTTACGGACTGCACACAGAGCCAGCTTGTATGGGTTACAGCTGGCCAAACTTAATTTGTCAAGCTTCTAAAATATAATTGTTGGGCTGACAATAGCCATCATCTCTCAAAATGAAGAGAGCTTGTTCATGACATGAACAGGTATGGACAAGAGAAAGCGTGGAAATATTTATACCATAATTGAAGCCTATAAATTTTGAACCCTTTTCAATCACTGGAATTTTCTAGTTTTGGTAACATTTGTTATTTTATTTCTTTTTGCAAATGTTAATAATGTTTTAACCCCTTGTAATTGAAAGAGACCAGGACTTAACTGTTTACTGAAAAAGTATCACAGTTCCAGCTGTTTTAAAAGGACTCCATTTCTAGAGGTTTAAATTTCATTTTGCTTTACTTTGTTTTGTTTTTCTAGTGGGGAAGGTTCTCACTCTGTTGCCCAGGTTGGAGTGCACTGGTGCAGTCATAACTCACTTCAGCGTTGAACTCCTGTTTCAGCCTTGCCAGTGGCGGGGACTACGGGTGCACATCACTGTGCCCAGCTCTAGATGTTTGAATTTAAGAATTGAAGATGTGGAATAATATTTGATAACATACCATCTTTTGAAAAACATACCATAGATTTTATTTCTTGGTAGGATGGAGTAGTTGCTATCAATATATCATCCCACTGAAAAAAAATTTAGAAAATTTTACAAAATTTATTTTCAGAACGCTGGAAATCACCCAGTTCAGGACTGTGATGACTGAAAAAAGGAAAAAACCCTCAATACCTCAAAATAGTAAAGCAAAGTCAATGATAGCCCCAGTTGTGTGTTGGGAGGCCTTTTCTGGACTGTGCAAGGAGGGAGAAACCAGGAAGAACGTAGTGGTCTTCTTTAGTTGAGACTAGTAAGGTCAGTCTTGGAGACTGTGGTGGCCAGAAGTTACTGGACATAGTAGCAGAGAGAAAGTATTATGAAGAGAAAGAGCTATGGAAGTTTCCTTAAGTTTTTGGTTGAATACTGAGCTGTGCAAGCACAGGATGGAATCGCATTGGGCTGGGCAAAGAAGAATTACTGAAGAACTGTAAAGACGAAGAATTACAAGAGTTCACACAGGACTGGGAGTTGCCATCATTTATACCACAGGCTTCCAAAAGAATCGTTTCCCAAGTTCTAAGCTGCTCACAAATAAACATACCTCTCAGAAGTACGGACTTTTTACAACTTAGAAAATGATTTATTGACTCAAACATAATAATTTAAATAAAGATAAATACTAAAAACTTCATTATAAGACATTTTAACTGTAATTGAACTTATTTGTACTTTAATATCTCAGTTTTGTAACCATTTATTGTGAACTAACTTGATAATATAAACAACAAACAGGTGTTACATTAATGGATTATCTTCAAAGTGTATTCTTCTCTAATATTTCTTCTTCTTAAGTACATTTGATTTATATAGGTAGGCAAACTATGTTATTGCACATCTACTTAGACAAAATTGGAACTGGAAATCAAATAAATAATGATGGAAGTAGTGGTGAAACGTATATTTAACCTATATTTAATCTATAAACAATAGACTTATTTCTTTAAATAATTAGCAAAACTGAGAGGGCAGTATTTTGCTTACTAGTGAAACTGCATTTGGGAGGAGCGGACCAGCCCCGTTCTACACATGAAATGCTTTTCTCCTTGTTTTGAAGGCTGTATCCTGCGTTGCAAACAATTTGTACAGTATCACCTTCCAGATGTATTTGTCCTGAAGATTCAGAATGACCATTTTTCACAAAAGGAAAGGAACACATTCCTAAGGACCAAAAATTGATTAATGTACAAGATGGAAGTAGTAAAAAAAGTGCATTTTAAAATATTTTGTTAAGAAAGGAAAACTTTGAAAACTGACATAATGTGTAAATTTTCAAAATAATTTAGGTCATGCTATTGTATAAATGACGAAATATATTTTTGTTCCTATATATGTACATATAAAAGAAAGTTAATATTTCATATTGTTGCTGTATGGTTTTTATAACAAAATATCTTGTGTTTATAAACTCTTCTAGGGACAAAACCATATCTTCATATAACTATTTCTCACAATTCCCATAAACGTTTCTTACAAAAGAAGAAAGATCATTACTATGTCCTTTGTTGCCTCATCTAATCTCTCTCCCATTGTTTTTCTTCTTTAATACACCTGTTGTCATTGGAGTCTGGTCTCTATATTTATTGGAGTATTAATATAGCTACACTTTGAAGGACCAAATAAATGATTTATTGAAAATATAAAAGTTTAAATACCAAACCTTACCTTGCAATATGCAAGAGAATGGTAAATTCAAAACAGAATATCTATACAAAATGACTTACTTTAAAGGCAAACTATGATCAGGCTGCTGCCAAATGAATATTAGTAAAGAAATATTAGCAGTCAAATATATTAATCATCAGTCTAAAACAATTAATATATTTCAACATGTAGAGCATTTCCAGGTAATGCAAGACAGTTGATATGTTTATTCTTCATTGATTCTCATAGGAGGCATCTCAAACTAGGAGGACTACATCTCCCACCTTTGCAGCTCCTCTGGTCACTGCCCCTGTGCTTATCAAGACCTTATGATCTTGTCTGGCACATCCTTCTTTATTCACTGAATGACATCCATTTAATGAACAGGGCATTTACTCACTGAGACACTTTGGTGTTGGTGACCATCCTTCTTCCGTGCATGTTATGCGAGTCCAAAAGGATTTTGACGGAGACACAAAATTATATTCACAGGAGTAATAGAAAACTTCCCCTATAGGAACTTGGGAAAATGGCTTATAATTTTCTTCATCATACAGAAATCCATGGCGTATTTTTGGAAAATCACAAAGTGTTGCTGGGAAAAATAACACAAAACTGAAGAATTAAATAAAAAGCTACATTAATGAATCACTAGATTATATTTTAATCATCTCATTTATAGTTTTGTTTTTCATTCAACTTAAATGCCTTTAGCTTAAATGCTTTCCAGTGTACTAATTTGGAATGAAGAAAGATCACTAAATAAGAATACAAGAGTATTTAAGGAAGTCATTTTTTTTTTTTTGAGGGGGAGTTTCAGGTTTCACTCTTGCTGCCCAGGCTGAAGTGCAATCGTGCAAATCTTGGCTCACTGCAGCCTCCACTTCCCAAGTTCAAGCGATTCTCCTGCCTCAGCCTCCTGAGTACCTGAGATTACAGGTGCCTGCCACTACACCCGACTAATTTTTTTGTATTTTTAGTAGAGACAAGGTTTCACCATATTGGCCAGACTGGTCTTGAACTCCTGACCTCAGGTGATCCATGCCCCTTGGCCTTCCAAAGTGCCGGGATTACAGGCGTGAGCCACCATGCCGGACCGAGGATGTCATTGTTAATGAATATAAAATTTATATTTTGAGGTGATATGAAATCTGAACTCTTCTGCAATGTCTTCAAGAACAATATCCTCACACAACAATTTAAGAATGAAAGTAGACTGTATGAGTGGCAAATCTCCCTGATCAGTGTAGTGTACAGTAGAGGAGTGATAGGATTACTCTCAGCTCTCAGATTTCTTTCTTTTTCTATACTCATCGACTGTCATAGGTATCTCCACCAGAAAAATCTGTCCTATATTTTTTTCTGGTGCAGTAAAAATGTTGGGTAGGTAATTTGATTTTTTGCTTATTAATATTCTGATTACTTTCTAGTTACAAAGTTTATATAGTTTTTGTGGAAATAATTTAGAGAGTATAAGAAAATCACTAAGAACAACTCAACTAAGATAAAATTAAAGCTAAATTCTGGTAATTGCTGTATATATAAATGTTTGTTATACTGCAGGTCCAAAACATCTGAAAAAGAAAAAACAATAAAAAGATAATAAAATGATAAAATAATGCAATTAAAAATACAATATAACAATTATTTATATGGTATTTACATTATATTAGATATTATAAACAATCTAGAGATTATTTAAATTATATGGGAGGATGTGCATATGTTATATGCAAATACTACACCATTCTCTCTTAGAGACTTGAGCATCTGTGGATTTGGTTATCTGCTGGGGGTGAAAAGAGTCCTGGAACAATTCCTTGAGGATACTAAGGATACTGAGGATACTACTGGATATATGTATATAGACACTTACACATACATCCATACCCACTGTGGTGCAAGATATATTAAAACAATGTAGAAAATGGGTGAAATCTTCATGTTTTGACTCTATTTTTTTTTGTATATATATTTTATATGTATATACATATTTTTTATTAGACTTAATTTTTATTTACAGTTTTTTCACAGTAAAATTGAGTGGAAGTTACAGAGATTTCCTATATAACACTTCCTCTTCCCTGCCACATGAATAGCCCCCTTCCCCATCAATATTATTGTCATTCAAAGTCCATAGTTTACATTGGGGTTTACTCTTGATATAGTACATTCTATGGATTTGATGTACTTTATCTTTCAATGCTTTTTTAGCTCAAGATATTTCCTCAATATAGTGTGCTCATTTTTTAGCTCAAGATATTTTCTTAATATAGCATTGCTGCATAAGAAATTGTTTTGTTTCTCACCTTATTTAGAAAAAGCATGCAGAAATTCAGCTGACAATCGAGGGAAATTTCTCTTTTTAATCTACCTAGAAGTAATGTTTAATGTTGCACAATATTTGAAATACTTCTTGTGGTATTTAACCTTGTGAAACCTTAAATTTATTACCTAACTGTTTAAAAATTGACATTAGATAGTTTTGGAGAAGATATTGAGGGAAAGACTCCCTCGTGTCTTGATAGTATTAACCTATCATAACTCCTTTTAAATATCCTTTGCTCCTCGAAAATTGCAGTTATAGTACTTGATTTTCATACATTTGTACTAACATATTCTTCACTATCCAGAATAACTTTGTTCTCATCATCCAGTTGTATTCTACCTATTCTTCAGAACTTGCTCTACAACACGCATCGTATAACCATTGTGCACATCCGCAATGGTGCTAGCTAAGAGTGTTATTGTCCTTTTGCAAGCTTACCATTACACAATCTCCCACTTCAAAAGCAGAAAATAATTTTCTTTGTCTCAACATTCTGATAGAATACTATGAATACATTTCTTCTGAGATATATATACACACACACACACACACGTATACATGTATACACACACACACACACATATATACAGACATACAGTCATTTATCACATAATGACATTTTGGTCAGTGACGGATCACTTACATCACAGTGGTCCCATAAGATTATAATGTAGTTGAAAAATTCCTATCAACTGATGACCACCACAACATCACAGTCCAATGTATTACTCACATGTTTGTAGTGATGCTGATATAAACAAACCTACTGCATTGCCAGTCATATAAATAATAGCACACACAATTATGTATGGTGCATAATACTTGATAAAGATAATAAATGACCATGGTACTAGTTAATGTATTTAATGTACTATAGTTGTTATCATTATTTTATAGTTTACTTCTTCTACTCATTTAAAAAAATAACTGTAAAACATCCTCAGGCAGGTCCTTCAGGAACTATTCCAGAAGAAACCTTTGTTATCACAGGAGAGGACAGCTCCATGTGTGTTACTGCCCTGAAGACCTTCTAGTGGAACAAGAGTGGAGGAGGAAGACTGTGGTACTGATGATCCTGACCCTTTGTAGGCCGAGGTTAATGTGTGTGTTTGTGTCTGTTTTTAACAAAAAGGTGTAGAAGGTAAATAAATAAATAAAATATTTAAAAGATAAAATCTTACAGAATAAGAATAGAAAGAAAAAAATATTTTGTACATCTATACAAGATGTGTTTTAAGCTAAATGTATCACAAAAGAGTTACAAGTTAAAAATTTTTCAGTAGATAAAGTAAAAAGCTTACCATAAATTAATGTATTATTGAAGAAAAGTTTTTAAAATAAATTTAGTCTATCCTAGGTGCACCAAAAGCTCAGTAATTAGCACTAAAGAACTTATCCATGTAACCAAGAACCACCTGCTCCCCCCCAAAATATTGAATAAATATATAAATAAAATAAATTTACTCTAGCTCAAGTATTCAGTGTTTATGAAGTTTACAGTAGTGTATGGTAATGTGCTAAGCCTTCATATTCACACACCGCTCACTCAGTAACTTACCCAGAACAACTTTCAGTCTTGCAAACCCTGTTGATGGTAAGAGCCCTATATAAGTCTGCCATTCTTAATATTTTCTATTGTACTTTTATTGTACATTTTCTATGTTTAGATAAACACGTTCTTACATTTGTGCTACAATTGCCCACAGTATTCAGTACAGTAACATGCTGTACAGGTTTGCAGTCTAGGAGTGACAGGCCATATAGCCTAGTTAGGTAGTAGGCTATACAATCTAGGTTTGTGTAAGTACACTCTGTTATGTCTGCAGGAGGACAAAATTGCCTAAAGACACACTTCTCAGAACGTTTTCCTATCATTAAGTGATGCATGAGTGTACACACACACACACACACACACACACACACACAAAATCACCTGTATATAAAACCTTGCAATTTATTTGCCTATTTACATTTTGCTTTTCTTTTAGGACCTTCTAAGTAGTAGGGAGGCATGGGTGGGGTTGTCATATACTTTCTAGCTTCTTTGCTACAGCATGAAGCACAATATATTGCTTGATTAATGTTTTCCTGCTGGAAGCATGCAGTTTTCTGTTTGTACAAAAGTGTTGCTTTCGTGTGTTATTTCTGCTGTTTGGCCAGTTTCTAAATAGACACCAAAATAAAAGTGTAACGTACACTTACAGGTCATTTAACACCTAAACAATTTTTAGACAGAATTTCACTAAAGTTTATCCTGGGACTGGACTAAAGTTTGAAATTTTTTTGTTGGATTAGGAATTGTCAAAATTCTACATATTATCCTTATAATTTTCACTTACCTTCCTCTGCTTCCACCCCCATTTAGAAATCCTTGTGTAATGCCATTTGTAACAGATGTTTAAGCCACTTAATAAATATCATAAACACAGACTTAAGAAAAATCAAATACACTCATACAATCGCACTCCTGTGATTACAACTCAGTACTAAAAGTGAAAACAAAATTAAATGAATTTCAGGCCCATAGAAATAATGTTTTGCCACATTTGTAAGGGCATACCTTAAAAAGAAAGTATTTTATTGTTCATATTTTTCTCTTATGTCAGGACTGAGAAGAAAGTGTTCAAAAAAATTTAAAGATCTGTAAACATTAGAAAGCAGTAAAGCAGTAAAAGAAAAACTTTCTGGAAATCAAAGAGTATAGCACAATGACTGAAACTCCATGTATACACATAGTTTAATCAGTATCCTAGACCGTGTTAGAGATTTTGTTTGCAATTTTTTTGATATGGTGGCTTTAATTTTCACATGAAATAAAATAGGATAGTTTATAATGTTATAAGAACCAGTATATAGTATTAATAAAGAGGTGATATATTATTTCACTTTTGAAATTTGTGGAAGAGCTCAGAAGAAACAGTTTTTTGGCAGTTCACTGGTTTACATATAAAAATAATATTTTCTATTGTTTCATTAAAATATATTTCCCTGTTGAATTATAATTAGACTGAAATGATAATTCCTTCATTTTAATAACATTTAAAATTTAAATTATCAAATCTATGAAAATAAAATTCTAAAAACATATTGAAGGTGGCCGAATCTTTTTGGGGTTGATTTTTCCAGTCAGTGGCATTGCGGAGTTTATGCAGAATTACATTAATATTTCACCTTGTCACCTTTATTATAGCAGATTTTCTCTCATTTGATTTCTCTTTACATTATCTATTTGGTGACCATTTACCCTTTGCAAACTAGAGAATGGAGAGAATTAACTTCATTTTATTTTCCTACTAATTGCATGTTGGAAAATATTTCCAGAAAATAGATGAATATTATGATACCCTTTCAAATTATCCTCAGCTATTTATTCATTTAAAAATAATCTTATGCATATACACACACAATCAATAAATACATTTGAAAAGGAACTAAAATATTCGGATCTGTTTTCAACTTACCTTCTCCCCCAACAGTGGTTACCCATGAGATTAGGATTACACTGAATAAGAGCAACATGCTTGGTAGTCCCAATCACATATAACTAAAAGTACTCCAATGATGGTGGTGTTACTTTAAATTAACAGTTATGAACATGACTTTGTATTTCAGTATACTAACGGGAAGCTACTTTAGTAAATCCCTTTGTGGAAAATATCAAAGTTCATGGAGGGTTGTGTGAAATAAGCAAATAGTGTCTAATCAGTGTTTTCACAAAAATGTTCTCAACTCATTATGTAATGTTTATTTGAGCAAAATAACTGCTGTTCAATTTCCTTGTTGTAGTCACCGAGTCTCTCAATTTGGAATAATCAGAAATAACTGTTTAGAGGAGACAGGAAGCTCCCCCCTGCCTTTTTTTTTTTTTTTCTTTTTTTTCTAGCCAAGGGTTCAGCTGTTTCAAAAGGCAAGCAAGTGCAAGTCGTCACTCCTCATCTTAATACAACATCACTTTTGTAGTCGTAAATTTCTTTTAAAACTGGCACTAATAATTAGGTACCTCCTTAACAGTTTTAATATTTCATAAACTATAAAAGGTCTAATCAAGAATAATTTTTGCCAAGTAATGTTTCCTGAAATGTTTGAAGGAACAAAATTATAATTCAAAATCATTTTGTTCAGGTGGGACTTTGAGAATGGCTTTGTGAGGGTCTTGGTATATTCACTCCCCACCAAAAGGCAGCAATAAAACTGGATACAATTTTAAAAGTAACCATTGGTTGTCTCTGGAAAGTGGCCAAACAGTATAATGTTAGGAAATATTTATTCCAGAAAGTCTCCATAAAATTCAGTAAAAGAGAGCGATCATTTCTTCCACCTCTGTCTCGCAGCCCAATTCTGTGGCTCAGAAGTTGAACCCTGGATGGGCAGGCAGTCCATGTGGACTGGAAGCTCTGCTCCCTCGCTGGAGAAGAGTGACTTTATAGCTTGGAAAGGTCCACACCTGAGGATCCTATTGAATACAAAGAGATTACAGTGGGAAACAATCAGAGAAGACGAGTATGTCTAGAGGATAGTAGCTGAAGCAAGCAAAAAGTGCCCAGCCTGTGAGAAATTTAACATTTAATGGGGAAATTTCGAGAAATAGACAGCCTAATGATCTCACTAAAACGAAACTTACTGACAGTGGTTCAGAAGTCAATGGGAATGCACATAGCTATGTCCAATCAAGAAACTAGAGAAGTCCCTGTGAGATATTAGTAGTCTCCACTATTGATTCTAGTCTATCTAAACCTTGTCATTTCCAATTACTACACTACCTAAAATATCTAAATATTAAGCATCACACTCTAGACCATTTCAACAATCTCTTTAGCTCACTTTACTAAATTTGTTCCAAACATTCAATGACCCTGACACTTTTTCACTATTCTTTTCCCTTCACTTTCTCTCTTCCCACCACATCTAAATTAGATTCCATGGCTCATCACTGTAAGTCAATCCCTTGCACACACTCTCCTGCCCATTCCTTCCTTTCTATCTGTAATCCAAGTCTTAGAAAACCTCAGTCCTTTGCAAATAAATTCTCTGCTTGCCCCGTCCCTGAATTGAAGCATCAGAGTGTGTCTACAAGAAAAACAAAGGCAACTGTGTTGACTTGCCTTGCTTTAAATTAATGATCATGGTCCTAAATAATTTTGACACTGCTTTTCCCCTCCCCTATTTTCATTATCTCCCTCCTTAACCACCAGTCCTCACCTTGCACTTTGCTAATGACTTCATTTATTTTTTCATCTAGATATAGAAGCAATCAGAAGAAAAATACCTGCTCTTCATATGCATCTTTTTCTGCATTGTCTCCTGTTTCACTGGATGTTGATCTTTACTCCTATCTTGTTATGGTCTCTACCAGATTTGACCCCATCTTTTCTATGCAAGGATTTTGCTCTTTCAATTATTCCTTCTCACCTGTATCATTAATTTCTCCATTTTCCAAATTATTTCCACCAATATGCAAACATACCAAACATCTTTCATCGTAAAGAGCAAAAACAAAAGCTCAAAAAATTGTTTGTAGAATCCAAATCTCTTTCTAGTAATCTAATTCACTTCTGATTTTATAATACAATGACTCTAATATGTTATCTGCAATCTCTACTTTAATTCATTTTTTCATTCCCACCACCGCACTTAAACCCCTCTTGTAACAGTCACCAATGTCTTCTTCAATCTAATCAAATCCATTGGTCAAAACTGAATACTCAGAACAATTTCATGACTTTCCCCTTCCATTTGGAAATCCCTGTTTCACAGGGTTTATGGAACACCACATTCTCCTGGTTTCTCTTCTGTCTCAAAGGCTTCACCATCTCAGTCTTTTGCTGGCTTCTTCTAATCTCTCTGACCTTTAAATAATTGGTTTGTCTGAATCTAGGGGATGTTATCGTTTATTTGTAAGCACAGAGTTAATTTTCACAGAACTAGTGCTGATTTTTAGTTGAATTAACACTATCTTCTCTTGTCTGTTTTTTTTTTTTTTTTTGAAGCCCAGTACTCAACATTCTCCTTTTATTTGCTGAATATTTCTTCTAATTTAGAAACCTAGATTGCCCTTTTTTGTTTGTTTCCTATTCCAAGTAATTTCAGATTATGCCTCCCCCCACAGAAACATTGGCAATAAATAAAAGAAGGAAACTATACTTGATAAGAGATAAAAGGGCAGGTTAGAAAATAACTTTGTCTTCAATTTTGTGGCCAATTTTATTTTGAAAGATGCTCACTCCACTGTGTCTCATCTCACTTGTTCTTCTGCCATGTGATTTTGCCACGATCCTATCAAGATTTAGAATCAAATTTCCCTCATTTTGAAAATCTGTACTTTTTAGTGGCATGCTTTTGTCAATACAATATAGGCGTAATGACTCTGCTAGATATTAGAGAGTTATGGGTTTATATTTTGGAAGACTATCTCTCTGACACTACCTTGGAAGCCTTTTGCTCTTTGGCAAGAAGTTCAATCTGTATGCAGAAGCCATATATAGGTCTTCTGGTTGACAGTCCCAATAGATCCAGGCAATCAGCCCAGGTGTCATACATGTGAGTGAAATTTTCAGATTCCAAATCTCAGTTATTTGAGTCCTAACCCATTTAAATTTTTTCACGTGAGGCTCAAATATTGTGGAACAGTTATAAGTCATCACCTCAGGGCCCTGTGTCAATTCCTAACAGTATCCTTAAGTATAATAAAATGATTGCTGTTTTATGCCAATAAGTTTCTTACACAGCATTTTAAATCTAGAAAACTGGGACCTCTTTTTTTTTTTTTTTTTTTTTTTTT